AAGGGAGGGAAGAGAGAGTGAGAGGGGAAATGAAGGAATGAGGGAATTACATGGTTTAAGAGAAGTGTTGGGAGAGGCGCAAAATAATGCAAAGCCTTACCAACTCGCCCTAAGACAGTCGCTAGTGCCTCCACTGACTCACCATCCGAGCTGCCAAGATTTTGATTTGTTTACTTAGTGGATTGCAGCAGCAGGCCATACATGAGGGGGCAGAGGAGAGAGTAAGGTAAATGAGGGTGTGATATTCCATATTCAAAAGTGTCTGGCATCATTTGTAGCAGCTTTCTCTTGCCTCCTAGCAGTGCATAGTCAAATTTCGTTGCCAGATTTCGTGGGTTCACACTACGGGCACGCTGAGTGCCGGGCTACTTTTATCCAGGCTGTCAAGATTTCTTTTACTCTCACACATACGTGCTGCAGACTACTCCACGATCTCATCCTCCTTCTACTTCAACCATTTGGATGACGACATTAGACAATTCTACCGAACCTATTCATTCTGTCCTCACGATTGGGCTTCTAGCGTGCAAGCTAAACGGGCTTTGCTGTTAGACACTTTGTTCCAGTCTAAATGTGAGCTCGTGTCTGATTCCGCGTGACGAACAAAACTGGGTAATCGTGGCCTTCGACCTTTGACGTACCAGTGATTATCAATGAACTTGCTGTTCTCCTTCTCTGCTTTGCATTGGCCAATAGGGAGAAAGATAGTAGGAAAATGTCTGTCGTCTCTGTAGAATGTTTTATGGTAAGCATTCGGTTGGGAACCCCATAAAATTCAACAGCAACGCTCTCTTGAGCTCGCAGGCTTCCGCAGCATATCGCATTGAGTAAATGCATAAACCTGACGCTGTCATCAGGAATGGACGTACTGTTACGCCCCCTGACTAAATATTCATGGCGATGATTGACAGATGCAGGAGTAAACTCTCTTTCAACTCTAGATATCTCCTTCCTTACTTTTACTCTTTCCTTTTACATTCTTTACTGCACCATTAAAATTGTCCTCCCCCTTCACAAAATGGATGGTTTACAGTCCTTGCAATGCGCAGAATGTGCCGGTGAAGCAGTTCTAATGCAACGACACGCAGTCATCGCTACGAATTCCCGATGTGCTCATGACTGCCTTTGCAGTCACCTCCCTCCGATAGAGAGGCCTTGGATGTCTCCACGTCCGTGTGGGAATCCACTTCCATCCAGCTTAGTGTGAAGGACACGTGCGTGTTAATTTTAAGCTTAAACTTAGAAATGTCTGCCGACTTTAGTCTACAACTTTGTTCCTCCAAGTATGCGATGATAGCATCTCGCAACATCATCCACTGTAATCCACTCTTGTCTACTGGAAGCGTGAGCCCAGTTTCACGTGGAGTAATGGCAGAATTGAAGGTGGAGGGGCTAATTTGTCACTCCTAGCAAATAGAAGTATTTATTGCATTCGGTATACATTAGACACTTTGAGACTCTACAAAGTGAGAAAAAAATTGTCCATGGATTGCGAATTGCATACAATTAAAATTTAAATGAAAAACAAGCTTGAAATTATTCCATCGGTTGAGGAGTAGATGCCTCTGTCAATATAAAAGGCGGTGGAAGGTGAGTGGTCGGTCTACCCTGCAGTGAGGTTGAGCTGATTATTTTAGTATGTTTAGTTCGCAGCTATATCCTCCACATTATGTAGAGCAGGACTAAAGCAATCTGTGAATGACACTTTTAGTAAAGTTGTAGATCCAATTTCATTGAGAGGGATACGTGTATCCAGGTTCACTACACAATGTAATCGTCAATCACCGGCTCCAACTTCCCCAACCATCAGTTCTCAACAGGTTAGAAATTCGAGATGGACCCATTGTACACTGCTAATGTGGTATCTGCTTCAGCCGTATCACCCCGTAATTCCTGGGATTGTGAATTGTGTGATACACCTCTGCATCTGCAAACAGGAAGACAGACCAAATCCTCCGAATGGTCAACATCTTAGGTAGCTCAAGTTTGTTGACATGCAAATAAAACTTATTCTCTGAAGCTCTATATTGTTATTTCATTGTTATCTGGCCAACCTTGTATAACTCACTCCTGTCTCAACCACGACTTCAACTTTGTCCTGCAGGTACCTCCACAGGCAGCTACAAACCACCTCCACAGTTTTATGCATTGGGCGGTTGGTTGCATTGTCGCCCCTTCCCTTGCCAAGCTTGGATTTCAGTGTTTCATGAGTGGGCTCGCCTTGACTGTTACGCTGTCTGTATGGAATTCGACTGTTCCTGCTACTTTGCTGTGTTGTGTGGATGCTTGAGATCGCGTAATGAAATTTGGCCATATGATACACGAAGAGGTAACAGACTAGATGAGCCTAACCATCCATGAACATCTGAAAAAGAATGTGCTATCCTCACCCACGTATGCTCTTTCGCCCTTCAGTGCCAAGCCGACGCCTCAGTCTCCAATATAAAACTACTTCTTCAGCATTGCGTTCTTCCCCATATGTCGATTTGATAGCTATCTCAAAGCTAATTTGCACTTAAAACTATGATCTACTTTATGGTGTCAGTCCAAAGGAAAATAAACTAACCGATGATGAATGAGTTCTCCGTAAATAAGTTTTCTTTTGCGGAGAAAATCAAAGCACTCTGCTTAAATTGGCCTAAATATGTGCCTACTCTGCTCGGGTAATCATACCCCATCCATGACATGGCCATTAACAACAGGCACAACATCTTTTCCAGTTGTGTCTGTTGTTGTTAAATGTAGCCTCCTTCAAAATTTTATTTTGTGTGTCGCCCTAACAATGACCCAATTTGCATTAAGTCAACATATAAAGCCTAACGCATTACTGCATTCCAGCAGTTGGGTGCAGTGAAATACCTAAGAGTATCAAGAGAACCTTTCCATTAATGAGGCTTTGATGCCTCTGACGGGCATGGGGTGCAACACCGCCCAATAAGTATATGTAAAAGAAATTAAAGCCTGACTACAGTAAGGCCATAATTCTGGCTACTTACATTAAATATAATTCAGAGCATGAGTTAACAATAGAATACACTTCTACCGAAGTTGTCTTCAACAAGTAGCATGCCAATTTTCCCATTATTTGTCTGGAGAATGTATGTACAAGACAAATGCAAGTCAGCGGATTAAATCAATATGTTGTCCGTGAAGTTGCCATGGCGCCACGGAGAGGAACCAAACCCGTATCCACAAAAATATTACGTAGTTAGTATAATTTTCAACACCGCATTAACGCAAAATCTAATTTGTATGTAAGCTCAACTTCGTAAACTGAACACTAGCATTGGAAAATGTCAAGAACTTACAGTATCATATACTACAATAAAATATAATGTTATCGGTTGTCTAGTTAATCAAATTTGCTCTGGTTATTTAAAGTTTTTGATGGATACCTTAGTAGAACCGAATAAATAAATGCACCAACAAGGCACGATTTTGGTAACCTGTGTCTTTACCTAAGAGTTTTAAATTACTGCTTTCGTTTGTCTGAACAAAATGGGTTGAAATGACCTAAGACGTGTTTACGCAAGCCCTTTGGATTTTCAATGTGATATCTAGTTGGAACATGGGGGGGATGTGTGGCAGAATTCGGAACTTGTGGCGCTTATCATTTTTATTCGCGATAATATTAACAAGTCTCGCCAACCTCTTCAATTTCATAAGTTTTGTTTCTCCTCACTGGATTGTTTCAATAAATAAAGAAAACTTTGGTTTCGTCCGTCTGGGTTTATGGGAAGTCTGTTTTGACAACTTTGTTTTTGCTGGAAATTACATATCAAAGGCCTACGATGGTTGCTGGTACATTTTTAGGCAGGAATTTAAATATATCCGGTTTTGGATTAACCCTTGTAAGTGGTGTTTATTTATGAACCTCAAATGGTTTAGCGTGGTTTATATTTATCCAAGTAGCATCGATTGTGAACATAATATTTAGCCTTGGAAGCCTTTTGCTTATCCTCCAAAACGCTGCAGGGATAGAAACGATTTTCTGCAAGTTGTCAAATACTCCAATCATATTCCTTCAGTCTGTGGTCGGTAAGAACTTTGATGGCTAAAGGAGAACACTTTATTTTAGTTGCCTGTCTGGCGGTGATCACGATAACGATGGGCTTAATGTCTAAGGATCGAATGTGGCTGCCCTTCTCCGATCGCAACACCGTTGGATGGGGACTGGGTTTTGCTGCAACTAGTGGAATCCTCATGCTACTCAGTATTTTTTGTCTCATCGTTGACCAGATAGCCCACTATAGTGAGCAGATATACTACAAGCTTCTCGAAGAAGGCGGTTTGCCTGCAGTTCAATTGATTCCACCTGATTTCACCTCCGGTGTGGGGGAACTGCCTGCTCGGACAATGCCACCTGGCGCTTCTGCAATCGGTGCTGCTTCTGAGTCCAAATTGGGTGGAGTTCCTTCACTCTTTTTGACCGCCTCGCTGCCGTCCGTTGCCGGCAGTACGGAAAGTGGAGGTAGACATGGGGGTGGGGGACCAGCTGCTCGGATTTCTTCTGTTCTGGGCAGTGCTAAGAGCGCTCTCCTGACGCGCTACGGCGAGACAAGAACTGCGATTCCTGGGATGTCTATGAGGCCCGAGATACCAGCAACCTCGGGTGCTTTGGCGTCTGCAAAATTGAGGCAAAACCTACAGTGCGAGAGACCGACGGAACCCGTGTCGACAGCGGCAGCGGCGGGTGCACAACCATCCAGCTATTCGGCGCGCTCACTCAGTCTTTCGAGGATCGGTGGGAAGCAAGAAAAACCGGTTATCGTGTACGGAACCTCGCAAGGCAATATTCTAAAAGATTCTGCTGTCTAGCTCTGCATATTTCAACGTCAGATAATTCTTTCGTTTACTCTCTGGTCGTTTCTTCTTATGTTAAAGAGTCCAGTATTTTGGGAGCGTAGAAGTACTTTCTAGCCTTCTAAAAGTGCCCAAAAATTTTTCAGGAATATGAGTTACTACTTGGTTACCTCTTTCATAGTGCTATTTTTCTCACAAAAACTGGCACTAGTACCAGAAATAAACCGTGATGTTATTTTCTCTCCCACTGTTGATTGTTCACTGCAATTCCCTTCGATCGAAAATCATCCAACTTTTATTCAACGCCTAATTTTACCTAGAGGCCTCAGGCTTGTGTTGGGTTCTACTGAATTTCTTTAAGTAGCTAGTTGTTTGAATGATAGCAGGAGGTGTGCATTAAGTAGGCCAAAGGCTTTTCGTGTAAGTAAACTAGGTTTTAAAACAAAAGCACTACGGAAGCTTTGATTTGTTAGCAAGGCAATTTTGGGGGCATGTGGACTCTAGAATGACCTTGTTCCAACTCTAACAGGCGGAAGGGTTTAACAGTGTCATTGATAAAAGGCGGGAGCTGTCTTTTAATCAAATTCCACTGGAGTCTTGAAGGAATGGACGCACTTTGTTAGGGCATCGGGACTGGGGCGTCTTCTACGTGCTATTCGTATGAATAACGCATAAAGTGATGCATAGCTCTACTGGATCAACAGGAAGGGAGGACGGCCGTGAATGAAAGTTTGAGACAGGGATACTGTTGCTTACTACTTGAGTTGCCTACTTTGATTGCACATACATAGTCATCTGTCAGCACTCAGTACCCCTCACAGCGTCAATCACCTCTGTGTTTGAAGGAAAAGGTGATGGATTTGAAGGTGTTGGATATCCTCCATCACCGCACCTGGAAAACACACGTGAATTATCGCAACGGCGAGGGATCAAGAGCATCCACAATTTTATCACACGTCAATCAGTAACTACCAACATCTGTTTAATGTTATTCAATTCTCAATGTCATGTAAATTAGAAGGGAAAAAATGTCTCTTGAAACCTAAAAATAACATTAGTTTCAACCAGCAACAGGCTACTTTTGTATTGGTGTGGATGGGCAACACTCGTGTGTAAGACCATCCCCCATTACCATTGAAACCACTTCCATTTACTGCCGCTATCGTTGGGGCGCTTTAAGTGAGGTTGACTTTTTCGTGCCCGCCTACTCATCCCAATGAGCTTAGTAGTAATGATTGACACCGACCATGCTGCCATGCGACGGATTTTACTCTCCTGCTTAAAACCGATTGCGAAAAGTAAGGAAGTCACCGTCAAGTAGAGCGCCATTTACCGGACTCGGTATGAGAGGTGAAGCACCACCAGTGGTGCTTCACCTCATGTTCTAATCTCTGTCCTCTGATCCATAGCCAATTCCTGTCGTTGGCTGCCGAGCCGTGGCTAAAAGCAATTCAGGCTCGTGGTGGATGGGGTAGTAGTTGTACCCCTTCAAAGCCCGCAGATCGGAGACCAGAGACAGGCCAAAATTATGGATTGGAAGATAAAACGTGATGACCCACATCATGTCTCGTGAGGTCACCGCACTTGGTGTGAGAGCAGACCACGCCACCCTACAATTCACTATATCACGGCATTATGCTGATTTCGGCCTTCTGGTGAAACACATATTCACTTATATATTCTCGCCCTCACGCATCCGTCTGTCCTTCCATTTATTCATTCATCGAAGATCCACTTCGGGACTCCTTAACTTGTCTGATCGTGATGTAGAAGTGAACTGACGACGGCAGTTGAAGTGGATAGCTTACTGCCATTCCTTGAGCAAATTTTTAACAGGTAACGCACCCTTCAGCTTTAAGCAGTCACCTATCAATGCAATCGGTGAGGTTTTTTTTATGATGGCGCCATATTCCCTTTCCTCTTCTCTTGATTGGACCATTGGTGCGAGTCGCAAGGCGACTCCACTGTTTGGCGATGCCTTCCCGCCGGATTCATGTCTATACCCAAACTGCTCTCAACTCCGCGGGCTAAAATCCACCTTGTTTAGTCGGGACATCACACTTCCCTACTAAAATTCCAACTAGTCTTTGAGGAGAGATTCCGCATCCAAACGGTGGGTAAATTCTCCCGCATCTGCTTTCCGAATTTTTTAAAAAACACCGCTACTTACACGAGCATACGTCTACTCCATTTGGGTTATTTATGGTCGAGAGCCATCCCACCAGTCTGGCATTTGAATACCCGTTGTCATTGCGGCAAAGAGACGACTTGATGCTTTCGTTCCGCCAATCGCTTCACCCGCTTTCAAGGTCACTCCTGGCCTAGTTACAGGACTTGGACAATCCTCTGCAGGCACTTTTTGACCGAATTTTGCGCCGGTTCACAGAGTTCCCTCCGCCCAATTCGCAAGCAATGTCATTTCAACTCCGTCAACACCATATCAAATGTATAGCCTTCATTTTTTGGAAAAAATTTTCCCTTTTTAACAAATCTAGGTGTGGAAGAGACTCTGTGGCAGTTGTTTGTAAGTGCTGGCTAATCAACGACTGAATTTCCCCCCTTCTTCTTCTTTGTCCCCCTCCTCTCCCTCCTTCCCCGTCCCTTAATCCAGAATCCGACATGAGGTTTTGACACAAAGGAATGCCCCACGCCGATTGGTCAATTTGGCTCTGTTGTCTTACTCTCGCGCACCTGACTACTAGCCAAGTCAGCCAAACAGCGGTGCTGTTTACATCCGCTGACGAGGCATGTGATTCGTCGACAGCCCAGCCCCATGACTGGCTTTCATAACAGCGGAGACGTTTGGCATGGAGGGTGTTTACTCTCGGTGGGGCCTCCGCGCTCTAGGCGGCTAGACGGCGAACAATGCCCCAGACAACATCAAAGAATATCAATCGCTTACCTTCGTCTAGCTCGACATCCACCTCGGCAACGGATACGGAAATGCTACTGCAGTTGCTGCGGAGGGAGTTACTTTTAGCCTTGGAGAGTATGGATGGTGCTGTCTTTAGGATGAAATTGCAATGGATCTTGGAGAATGCTGGAGAATTTGTGGATTTGGTGTTTATGAGTGGACTGGATTTTGAGGGCAAAACCGCCCTCCACATTGCAGTGGCGAATCGTTTCGAAGAAGCGGTGAGTTGGCGTCTTTGCAAATGCTCACAATATGTTACCTCTTCTCGCAATTTTTGTTGCCTCGCGTCATCCTAACTTACTTGTCAGCCGATTTGGAAGTACACAAAATCACATGGCGTTTTTCCGCCGATTGTGTTTCATCAGAGAGGCAACAGAAGAAGTCCGGACCTACTGTCAATCGAAGTAACTGACCTAAGGGAAGTTTTTATTAGGAAACGGTTAGTAATTTTATCTTCATCTGTGAAAGTGCTTGTGATGTGATTACAAGTAATCAGAAGAGTTTCGGACTGTTATCTACAAATCCGTGTTCGTTTTTTGAAACATCTTAGATTCCGACATAAAAAATCTATCCCCTCTACCTCTAGTGAAATCTTTTCGGGTGCTATCAAAACACGTTTCTCCAGTTGTGGTACAGTGGCTCTGATATCTTTATAAAGGCGTAAGGGGTACTTAAGTCGATGAAAAGATGCAGTAGCTTGACAGTATGGAGGAGGGGCCTACCACTTAGTGTTTTTGATTACACTGCAAAAGTAATAAATGGATCTGACAGCTAGTAAGCGGAATCTCTCAATTCTTGCCATAAATTCTATGAACAACGGGGATTTTTAATTTTGTTTCGAAAATCCACGGCTAGATAGGCAGGATTGGCATGTGGATTAATGGTCCCTCTTAATTGTGGCGAAAAAAACTTTCCTGAAAGTTTATCAACGTCGTCGCTTCCCCTTCATTTTCAGCATAAATGAATTTCATTTTTTAACTGCAGGAAAAGGTTGAGTAAAATAGGTGAACAGTCAAATTAAAGCACAAAAGTACTTTTGTACTTTACCAAGTAATGCAGCATCTCACTTGGGTGGGAGATCTATGAATGTGCGTTCCAAAAGTGGAAAAAAGGATAATCCAATTTTCTCTTTCTACTTCCAGTCATCGCCTAAACTTCATGTAACTTTTAGAGTAGTCCATAACATTACAGCTGCGGATATTTATTGCCAAGATTTGTACTTTAATCCTAAAAAAAACAACAATGCTGAATAAAAGGGAACGCTCTGAGTAACTCAATTTTGCTGAATTTTGTTAAACTCCCAGTAGGATTCTAATTATATGCGGTTTAGGAAGGTTCATTGCTTTGAAACATTACTTTGCCAGGCCCGGCTTGATTTCTTTGAGTGTAACATTTTTGCAAATAAAATTCGCTCGAATTGTGGGTTTTTCTCTTTAAAAAGGACAATTGAAAAACTCACTGACATTGGTGTTCGCACAATCCACTTTACAGGAAAATGGTTCGCCCTTCCCGTCAAACTTTAAAATGACTGTTGTACCGCCTTACCAATTGAAGTGGTGCTTCGGTATCATCTGCACTGATAACATTGGACATCTTACCTTAATTCGCCGTATGAACTGTGCAAAAATTGGGTGTTTGAAGAAGTGGTTCGTGTGGTTTCAGGTGTAACACACCATAATAACTCATTGTTGTTTGCAGGGATCCAGAGGGTGCATTCGATTGCTTTTTTTCGCACATTACGGGAAATAGATTTGCACTATTCTTACTATGGTGCTGCTTATTGTACTCGGCCGTAATTTCCATCTATTTTGGAAGCATACTCATTTCATCGACCTATCATTGTACGTTGTGGATTTGACTCCAGTTTGCCTTGTGCGCTCCCAGAAACAAGTTGAACTCGGCTCCAAAGGTTAGCTTCAAGCCCGTGATAAGGCACTCAGAGAGGGAGTAGTAGCGGAATGCGATGGTAGAGAAGGGTGCCTCTCAGTAATGATCAACAGTCTAGGGTGATGACACACCAGGATGGATGCACCATATGCAGGAATTGCTCTTCGAGATTGGAACAACTTGTTCGCGCCTATGCTGGAAAAGCGGGCGAGATGAGCTGAAGGCGAAACAGATGCGGCTGAGATCTGTCAGCTTCGTAAAACTGGGAAGAGTGCAGCAGTAACTTCTTCAGGAACGGTGAATGTCCAATCAGTCACTTTAAAGAAGTTTCCCTCCCTCCACAAGAGTATGTAGCAGAACCTCTTACTGCACGCTGCATGCTAAAAAGTTGAGTCAGAGGATGACCTCTTGCTACTTGGAGTGAAGGTTTTTGGGGTATATCCCACCATTGCTACTTCTGAAGACTCTGAGAAGTGTGTTAATCGAATGGAGTGACAGTGAAGCCGTGAGGGATATCGCACTAATCTTCTCTACATCGTTTCAAGGTCAAACTTTTGGTCTCTACGGCCAAAGTCGACCTCCTTGCAACAGCTGGAGACAATGGATGGAGTGCTCTACATACTGCAGTTGATCTTGGTGATGCTAAACTTACACAGCTTCTTCTACCGACCCACAATACAACTCTAACACCACATCACGTCCTCTCCTCGCTTAAACAAGCCACTGCTTCTCCCTATGCCGTCACAGCGCTTCACATGGCAGTTCGTCGAAATAGTGTTCCGTGTGCTGTAATGCTTTTGCATACAGCAAATGCCCTGCTTAATGATCATTCAAGTGGCTGGACATCCTCGGAGGAGGAGTTAGCAGTAGATGAGATTCAGCAGAAACACCACTTCCATGGACAGGCAGGCAAGGGCTCCAGAAAGTTGAATAAACTGAAGGATAGGAATGGCGATACACCGTTGCATTGGGCAGTGAAGACAAACAAGTAGGTCATTTCAAAATTGGGGTTGCTTAAATCGGCTTTTAGTGGTAAATTTTACAAAGTATTAACGCAGTGTCTAGTTTACCACTACAAGGCGTAGGAGCACAGATATAGCCCTTTTACCGACTTATAGGAGAGGTTAAAGGTCAAGAACTGGTTTGAGTGCTCCATAGTCTTTTTTCCCTCCTCATCTGAGTGTTGTAGTCGCTCCACCGTCCGAGCCATCTCAGGAGTTCCATAACCACGAGACTTTTACATTCGTTTTTGAAATGAATTTGCATCAAGCCCATTCCATAGGTCTAGCGCCACTTTTAGCAGCTTATCAAATTGCGATAGAATCGAGATTTTGCATTCCAACGTGGCATCTCCCTCTCAATTTGGTTTTTGGTTTACTATTGAAATCGGGCATTTCAGCTATGCAATGGCTCGCCTCCTTTGTTCCTATGGCGCCCATCCGCGTCATTCACACAATTGTCAGGGCCAGACACCCTTCGCTTTGGCCAAGTACGTCCTACGTAACACCAAAATGACCAAACTACTGGCCAGCTTCTCACCGACATCCAGCACAAATACCAGTGTCACCGACAATTTCGAAGATGATAACGAGGAGACTAGAATCAAGGAGGATGAAGCAATTATGCCCTTGAAACCACCTTCACCAACTGAGTCAACCCTTCGAAGAGTCGTAAAGGCATCCGAGGTGGATGGTAGTTGCCAAAAGCTTCAACAGACGTTGATTCGTGTGGAGGTGCCGACTCCAACGCCGGGGACGGTGACGGCAGTAACAGCGATGCCTGTGAAAAAATCGCCTTCCGGCGAGGCATCAAACGGAGGAAGCATTTTAGGAAGACCCTACCTTCACCGTGAGGTCAAGTCAACTATCCCCCAAGGTAAATTTATTACTCGCGAGTAGAGAAAGGGGGATCAAGTTTGTGTACTCTTTAAGAGATTCGATGCAGTTCGCGGGAGGAAGGGGAGAGAGAGGACATATTTAAAGTGTGTCCGCCCACTTAGGGGATTTAAGGAAAAGCTGTTATTGTTCAGTCTGCTCTGAACCATTCATTTTGTTTTTTTCTGATAAAAAGGCGGCAAAGCTGAGTATCTTCAAAGAGCCGAATCGACTATAGCATGGGAGGATTGGTGGTGGGAAGTTTATGCTTGAATGTGCTAAAGCATAGACCTGGGTAGTTTTAATGTTTACGACTGTAAAGAGACAACTGGGTTTTGTTATTTTTTAATAATGAACAACTAACAGCAGAAGGTTTCGTTAAATATTAGAAGGGTTTATTTTTCACCATAGGTAAGCAACTTAGCTCTAGCCGCATCCATCTCTGACTCCTTCTCTCTCTCAAGTATTTGTCATACTTTCCATGTGATGCTCATCACTTGGAGTTCGGTGTAACAGAGATAGACGAGTAGGGGGAATAAGGGTGAGAGTAGGGTCGGAGATGCAACAGTATCTCCATCCATGCGTCCATTGTCTTTTCCATCCTTAAGTACGACACGGGGTCACCTCACGCATAAGTTTTGCCGCTTGTGGTGTGTGTAAAGAAGACCTGCATTGTCTTGTCATTCCAGTAACTAATGTACTAGCCTTGACCACTACTGAAGACGATGGATTAGCTACTGCTCCTGTACACGTCTCGTTCTCATGAGGTTGAGAGTCCTCGGCTACATTTGTTAGGCCTTGAGTTGGGGAACATTGTCCAATCAGCAGTATCGTCCGAAATGCGCCAACCACAAGGCAGGGCTTGTGCTGATGAAGCGATGAATATCTCAAGGGGTCTGGAGCGTTGGAGGGTAGGTTGGGTGAACTAAAAAAGTCCTTCCTCCCCACAAGGAAATCAGTAAGTTGGTTAGTAAACAAAAAATTGACAAGTGAGAAGAGGAGGAACAGCGATTTGAGAGCTCTTCAAGCTTTTTGTTCGGCATCTATGGGTATATGCCATGTGGGTAGAACCCATGTGCTTATCTTTCACCCCGGTTTTTCTGCTCTCCTCTCCTCACCCTTTAACCCCACCGTGGCAGCTACTCTAGCCACGAGATTATTCACGAATAAAACGAGTAATTCTTCATCATCATGAAGAATTAACGAGATATGGACAGAGGGGTGGATGAAAATTGAGAATGTGATTGTTAAAAGAACCGCCTTTTAAACACATTTCTCAAGAAGTTGGAGACCGATCCACCAGATTCATTCTCTAGATATTTAATGACGTCAAGACGGAGTCCAAATGAAAGGCAGGTGCAACAGGTCGCTTCAGGAGACCCCCCAATGACCTAGTACACCTGATTGGAGTAAATGGGTGCTTATTGTTAATTGCTTTTGACGTCGCTCATTTTGCCGTATTCCTTCAAGGGTCACAAAGTGGAGAAAAACAGTTTATTCGTTTCGTGGAAAAAAAGACACCCTTTTGAATAGATTTTTCCATTGATCGCTTCCAACCAATCACGTTAGTGATTCTGGTTAGGTTTTTTGAAACTCCCTTTTAATTAAAGGCTAAATTTCTTGTAGCATAGCCAACAAAAGCTCCATTTTTAGTACTAACGGGTCACTGTGGTCAGTAGCTCTGCCGAAACTCCCAAGCACTTGTTTGATCGTATTTGACAACCGCCATAGGGGGGTGGAGTTGAAAAGCCGCTAAATGGCGGTTCTGATAGGTCCAACTTTTTTCTCTTCTTTATGCCAAGTTTTTCGTTCTCTCTTGTTAGAAGTTTTCTCCAAAATTTGGCACATTTTATTAGGCTTCTGGTAGATTGTCCGTGGGCAAGTATTTGGATTTTTTCCACCTGTCACCAGTCAGCGCCTTTTAATGCCATCCTGATGGGACATTAATTAGTTCAGCTCTACAAGTTTTTTTTCGAGGAGCTGAGAAGTTAAGTCAAGACTTCAAATCATCTCGTTACATGGCTTCCCTTCTCCGGCCCTCCAGATAGTCTCTCCTTCGCCTCAGACATGAGGGCTCTTTAGGCTGCAGACTACATTGAAGGGGTTTGTTGACGTACCACTCCTTCAGGTCGTTCAATACGCCGAAATTAACGCGTTTTTTGCCTGAAAGCAGAGTCACTTGATAAAACCCGTGCGGCAACTTCACAGACCTGATGTTCACGATACATTCCCTCCTTGCCACTTCGTTCCTGTCTCCATGCTAACCAGTTCACCACCTCGGTTTCACTCATCTGGAGTAGGTATAACACCTCGGTTGTTGGCAACTTCTTGGCAATTAGAGGCCTGGTCACTTCGTTTCACTTTGGTATGGACGTCTGGAGCGGTTGACGCAAGTTGACTTGAATTTAACACCTATTTTACGGTTCCAGCTCTTCGCACATTGTAGTTGGGTGTTGAACCAGGCCAAGGGAGTCGCGACCATTGTTTTTTTTGGAGCTGATCAAGGTATTGATGCAATGAAGTCTTCCTTTTTGAGAAGGCGCTACCCTCTAGCAGTGCTACATGCTGTTGATCTGGTGCAGGTCCTTTAGCATCGAATCCTTACCGTCTGCTAGAATTGGGAGTCTGTCAGTGGTAGGCACCGTTTCAACTTCCCTCTAACCATCTACAGCACACGTCTACTTCTTCGACGTTTGGATTTCGCATCCAATCAGTGGAACGGGTCCTGCTGTCCATTTGAATCAGGGTCGACTGCGGGTCGGGTGTCACCACTGTAGCGAGATGAGTAGCAAGAATGAGCTGTCTTCTTGTCAATGTCAAGTCTCTTTAGCTCACGGGAAGGCGAGGGAAAGAAAGCAGATGGATGGGTGGACGCGGATGCCGGCAAATGCAAACACGATTGATGAGGTGGAATTTTTAAGGACTTTCCATCGCTGAACAAGATAGTGGCCACTAAAGAACTGTCAACTTAATGATTAATGAAATCAGATAATTTTTAGCGCAAGGCTGTCAAATTTGTCTTCTCTTGACAGGTTCACTGGATATGAAGGTCGATTCGGACACCCTGGAGGCGTGTAGACTTCGATCAAACAGCCTGAAAGTGGGACGAAGGGAGATGGATATGCTGCGTCAGAAATTACCCGGTCTCCTTTCTCGACCTCTTCTCAAGAGAGCAGTGGTGAGTTGCCAATGAAGCCTTGTCAAAAAGAGCGCAAATAGGTTTCTAAGCTGTCAGATGTGTAGTAAAAAACATGACAATTGGAAGGTGACAGCTTTAATTGTGGCTTTCCTGTTTTTATTAATCAAGATTTCTGGATTCTGTTTGCGTTCCTTCTGAACATCTGAAGTGTTACGTCCACTTTTGACACACATCGACACCTGGTACACCCCCTAGCCACTATGCCCTCCTATTTCTTCCTCCTTGATGGATCAAGCTTCAGCTCAGGGTGAAGCAGTTTGAGCAACAAGGGTATTTAGCCGAGTAAATACGCCTCCTCCTCCTCCTCCTCCGTTCCCTTCTCCTATTCCTCCTCTCCTCACCTCTCATTCATCGCTTCCAAAAGGCAAAGAAAGTAGACGGTGAAACTTTATGAATGTCTCATCCGTGGTGTAATGGTGGATTCATTAGTGAAGGCAAGATTATTCTTAAAGTCAGTACCTTGGAGATTGCAGGATGACTAGCAAAGTAAAAAGATGTGAGCTAACTTCTTGGCTATGTGTGGCAATAAAAACAAAGGAGGGAACCACAAATCTGATCAAATTCCGCAGCTTTGAAGTACTATGGGAACAAGGTCTTCCGTCCATGTCACCAAGGCAGAAGTTCAGTAAGCAGTAAAGTAGGTAAAGAAAGGCTACTTGGCTAGTAAAATCGACGCTAAAAAGGTTTCCGCTGTAAGGGTGAACTCTTGTAAGGAGCGACGGAAATGGAGGACGAGGAGGAGGTCAATTCTTTGTGAGGGCTTGATAAACCAATCAGACACCATTCGAAAGTGAATTTGTTTTCCTTCTTCTGCAGCACTTTCTCTGGTTTCCCTCAGTCCTTCTCACCTCTAGATTAATCGTTTAAGTGATTTCGTTTCATGGAAATTTGATTATTTTTAAGAGGAAGTTTTACCGGATGATGGGGAAGATGGAGAAAATGGACTGTTGGATGAAGGGAAATCGAAAAAAACATTTCGTGCAAATTTTCTTCAAACACGAGAGTAGTATCTTACAATGGAATAACAACACCGCCTTAGCCTTATTTATCAAATAAGCATGAACCAAACAAGCAACCTCGTCCTACGCATCCATTTTTCTACCTCCAAACTGTCAACACCATTTCGCATGCGGTCAAGTGACTGTCTAGCGTGAAATGCTGAAAGAGGTGGTGCTCGTCATGAAGGGAGGCTTGGAAAAAGTGGTCTCAGGAAAGTGAAGAGGGGGCAGCACCTCTCCCCCATCTTCAAATGCACTATGAAGTCCTTTCATGGACAAGTTTTGCGGTGTGACAGGTGAACAATGAGGTTTCTACACTTTCAGTAATGCCTTACCTAGACAACTTGGACTTTCATCTCATTTGGAACTCAGTCTACATATCAACACACAGGAAGGCTGAGAGACTATTGGTCTTCAAAAAAATACTCACGTTTGATTCACAAGTTAACAGGACATCAAATTATTATCTCTTAGGTCCACCGGCCACGTCCAGTTTCCCTGAAGGCTCGTCGAAAGGCTAGTTTGATGGATCCCGTCGAGTATTATCCCATGGCAAGTCCGCGACGCGGTATCTGTGTCGTGATCAACAACATGACTTACTGGCATCCCAAGTTTCAGGTGAGGTGTTCTTCACTCACATTCCTACTTCTCACCTTGGAATGCATTACCCAAGTCCGAGTAAGACCTACCATTAAAGTGGATTGTAGACGGTAGTAAGGCACCATAACATCAGGTCGGTGGTTGGAAGTTGCAAAGATTGAGGTGATTGTTTCTTTCTGAAGCTGCCTATGCTCGCTCTCCTCCTTCAGCTGTCTCGTGAAGGGCTTTCAACGATGGAGCGAGGATGCATGGGTTCAACGACGCTGAAGTCCCATACAGATTTTGATGAAACCACCACCTTCATTGAAGAAGTTCAATGGCTAACTGTTCCTTAAGGTGGGACAGCGGTCTGTTACAAGCGCATTTTATGCGCCCTTTGCTGCTCATCTAAAAGCGGAGTCATTTCATTAAACCTGTAGGACAGCTTCACAGTCCTCCTTACCACTTAGGCTACTGCCCAGCTAAGTACTGGAAGCCTGAAATGAATATAACGTCCGGGTTATTGGTAGTTTCCAAAAAATCTGATGGGATTCTGGGGGCTAGATACAGTGGAGTTATAGACAGTAGCTTAATCAAAGTATCAGCAAAGTTGAAACACTAATAATCCTGTTGCAGAATCGCGGTGGCTGTGATAAGGATGAAAAGCGAGTGGAGAAGGTCTTCTGCGGCCTTGGCTTCCTTGTAAAGGTCCTCCGTAATCTGTCCTCCGGTGAAATGCGCTCTGAGCTCGCCTTTATTGGTAACAAGACTGACCACTCCGCTTATGATGCTTTTATCGCTGTGATCATGACCCATGGAGGACTGGGAGAACTCTACGGAGTCAACGGAGACGCCTTTCCAGTTCACCAGTTGACCCTTGACTTCACTGCAGAAAGGTGTCCATCGCTGGCTGGTAAACCGAAGCTCTTTTTCATTCAGGCCTGTCGTGGCGACGAATATCAATTAGGTTACGCGTTGCCAGCTACTGGAATCACCGAAGATGCAGTAACGTCGAATCCGGGATCTGCGTTGCCGAATCCTCTTCAAATTGGTGACACGCAGGTGGAGGGGGAGGCAGTCGAGGAGGCGACAGATGATGTAGAAGAGAAGCCGGCGATAGTTGCAGCAAAGCTGCCCCGGAAACAGCGACTGGTTCCGAATTATGCGGACTTTCTACTGAGTTATGCTACTTTGGCCGGTTTTAAGGCGCAAAGGGATCCGCAAAAGGGATCGATCTACATCCAGACCCTGTGTCACCACCTGGAGATGCATGGAAGGTCAAGAAGCTTGTTAGATATCGTCACCTCGGTGCATCGAGAGGTGTCAGAGAAGGTCTTTCGAGAAGTGGAATCTCCCGATCAGGAGGGCACGGTGTTCCAACAGACCCCTGAAGTTCGACACACCCTGACTCGGAGGGTTCAGTTTGTGTGATACTTTTAAACAGATGAAAATGTATTTAGAAACAGACTTTTTAATGCGTAACGAATGGGTTGAGGCAAGTCGGCCTAGCAAAAGCAGATGCCTGAGTGGGTGCCGTTCATTAAGGTCTGGCGAGATTTGGGGTTTGAGGGTTGGTGAGTCAGTGACAGGAAGACCTCAGTGAGGAGTATGTCCCAGTCAAATTGTTACACGATTGGGGCGGCCTATTTATTCATCTTGAGAAAAAACTTATGGGGTGGGATTGACTCTACGTACGGCCAAACTTAGCCATCGGGTCGGCTGTTGTGCAGCATCTACCGTCGTATTTTATTTTGGGCGCTAAGGGAGAAAATTAAAAAAACTTTATTGAGACGGTTTTGAAAAGCTTGACAAAGAACTAAAATAGAGTTCAGCAATGTTTACTACCCCAAAGACTAGACATGTGGAAATCTGAGATTCCCACCTGCTCAGAAAAGGTGAAACACGACTTCTTTCTCTGTGTAGTTTATACTATGGAGATCCAAATATGTCCAAGCAGCTGTCAGTGATTATTAAAAAAGGAATTCAACAAGCTGTAACAGAGCTAAACAGCAAAGAGTGTATAAGATTACAAAGGAATATTTATATGTTCATGCAAAATCCATAATGATTTCATAAGCTCCTTGCAAGAGTTGATTGTACGTTAAATATGCAAACTTGTGTGTACTGCTTTGGTGGTTTTCCCTGCTTAGCTTTGCAAATGCGGACTTTCAATTTTCCATCAATTGTTCTTCCACTCGGTTGCATGGCCTTCTAAACACGCAGGTAGACTCTATTCCTCTGTAATCAAGTAATACATTTCCCTACACACCACCTTGCCATCTTGGGACTTTAAAAGCCTTAATCACTGATGCTGTGATTAAAAATGTTGGCAGAAATATGCTGTTTAAGTACAACTGTTTAACTTCACAATATTTGCTTCTCAAAGATGGATGCCTGGCTTGATATCCTTACAAGTGCATCAAAAATCACCTATGTTAAGGCGCTAGATTAATAATATTTTTAAAATTATTCTGCTGAGAGTGGGCATATTATCTTATTTGTATTAAATAAACTTTGATCCCTTTTGATCAATAATGCTGCATCCAGATTACGAAAATATTAGTCTCGTGCCAATTGTATTCAATTTATTTATAAATTTTCATCGTAAAGTCAGGATAACAGGTTTTATCATAGGAGTATTTGCAGATCTTGGTACTTGCGTCGGGTGAATTTTTTTACCAATAGACTCACAGCTGTTCATTCTGACATTGTCTTTTCAGCCTATTGGCATTTAACCTTTGTGCCAGTGCTTCTCGCTATGGCCAAAGAAGAGGAGAACTCTAGCCTCTCCAGATCTTACTCGCGGAACAAGACAAAGTTGGCACATTCGAAGGTCTCATTTTTTAAATAGACGTGTCCACAGTTCAAGCAGTAGTGAGAGTCATTCGCACAGTGGGTTAAAAAATGGCACCTCCAAAAAAGAACGACTTGAAGAACAGCGAAAGAAGGATGAAATGAAAGCTGAAGAAGAGAGACTTACGTAATTAAAGTTGCCAATCATTAAATCTAGGTTTTTTGTGCATTATAATACCAAACTCAACTCTTATTTTGCGCATTCTGACGTTTCTTTTACACTGAACCACCTTCCAGTCGTCAGCAGTGGGCTGAATCGAAACTTCTTGAAGAAGAAGTTGCCAGGCGCCTAGAAAGATACCTTGAAGCAGAATTATCCGTCCTTTTGAAGGAGCGAGAGGCGGAGTTTAATGCTGAGGTTGAGAGGCGTGTTGCCATTGAACGAGAGGCGTTGGAAAAACGGAGGAAAGAGGAGGCTGAACGAAAAGCCCGAGAAGAGGAGGAAGAAAAGCGTAGAAAAGAAGTAGGGCATGTTAACCGGTCATTTTTTTGTATTTTAACCGCTAATTTTACCTCATAAATCTCGTTTATAAACTATGCTACTGTATTCTGATACTATCGTCGAATCATAAAAGTGCAACTTTTTTAGTTGCATCTGCCAATCTCATTTTTTTCAGGAAGAAGAACGCCAACTGAAGGAACTTAACGAGCGTTTGGCTCGTCAGCGCGAAGAGGAGCTAAGCGAACTGCGCCGGAAGGAGGTAAAGTCACTTCCGCTCCCCCTTCCTGCTAGTGCTACCCAATTTGTTGGTTTCTTCATTCCCTTGTGTAATCTGCTTACTCGGCTACTTTCATCCTTCCCGCGAGTGTTCAGTTTGTGCTCTTGTGGCCCACGGACAGCGTGAATAGCATGGCTTTTCTATTTGAAATTTATTAGTAGCAATGCTTTTCGCCCACCGTATTGACCGCCGATTTCATGGTTCTTCCATTTAGGAGGAGGTACGCCAAAAGCAGTATGAGGAGGAGCTAAGAAAGTTGGAAGAGAAGCAACGTTTAGAGGCGGAGGAACAACGGAGGATAAAAAAGGAGCAGGAGATAATCCTTAATCGTAAACGGGTTCGTCCAAAGCTAAGTTTTACCTTGAAGAAGTAGCCAACCTCTGCGCCTTACCTTCCTGTCAAATAATGCTTTTCAGCCCCTCCCTTTGTTGCTTAAATTCTTGTATTCTATGCTTATCGGTCTTCCTCAACCTATTTACGTGGGCTAGGCTACTTTTAAGGTCATCCCTCAAGTAGGTCTGGTGCTGGAGATGTGATCCCTTGTCTAACCGTCCGTGGATGTTTGTCCGTCTCCTTTTTCCTGTCTGGCCTCGCGATGACTAATGACTGGCCTTAAAGCGGACCAGCGTAAATGTTTTCCCATTAGTTTTTCTTGCGTTTGAGGCCAAATCAATGTCGAACTGGCAATATTTTACTCCTCTTCCTGCTGGATTGGAGTCATCACTTCCGAATTTTTTCGTGACGTGGTTATGCAGCGCTTTGGGTCCTCTTTGAAAGTCTGTTGGGGAAGAGCTGAATAGCTATGGGTTTAAGGGTTCCTTTGACATTTTGGATATCAAAATGTCGCTCCCCTTCTCGCATTCCTTTCACACAGAAGGCTATTGCTGACTTGTCTTTCTGGCAGCCTTTATCTGCATCAGTGGAATCTGGAGGAGCAGTCCACTCACTCCGTAGTTGTTCCTCCCCTTGAAACATATATTTCCTCTTCGACGTGGATGTTCAGTTGATTTGATTGATTGGCGCTTATCAACGATGCCAAATGACATGGACTTTTGTAGTACGTTTACACGCAGCAGATCTCGAGGGTTCCCTGAACTTTGGCACTTTTGCTCCGCACCTTCTACTCTCACTTATCAGCCTCACGCACTCTTATTTGTTTGGCCCTGCTCAGGTCAAGGAAAATCGCTAATTAGCTGACCATAGGAAAGTAAATTGTTAACCTACTGGCGATAGCCGTTCACGGACGCTTTTTTTTCATTTCTTTTTTTGAGAAAATCAAATGGGAGAGAGTTTAGTTGGTTGATTTCAATTTAGAGAGGCAGTGGGGGAGTGAGTAGGCCTTATTTGGAAATCGGCATACAGAGTAATGAGAATTTGATAGACTGGAAAAATTGCGGTTTTTGTGGTGCCTTTTTTTGTTTACTGTTGTTGTTTACAACTGAAAGAAGATTGTTCGGCATCTAAAGAGGGAGGGACAGAAACTGAAATGATAGCAATAAGCACAAATTTTTTGGGGGGAGAGGAAAGATGAGAAGAGGTGATTGAATCACGAGAACACACACTTTGAAAGGCATTGATATCGAAAAATATAATTAAATATTTTTTTTGTCCACGTCTAACATAGAAGACATAACTTCAAATTCAAATGAAGAGGTGAAATGGCGCGCTGCTAATAATCTCTTAGCTGGTCGTGGTGGGTTAGTGGTTGCATTCACAATTTCGAAGAAGACGAAGGGACCGTGGTAATGCGTTCTCAGTAGCTAAAATGTGAAAAGAACGAGGAACAAGTGAGGAATCAACGTGCCACATCACTCGAGAAATGACCTTAGAGTAAGGTGGAGTCTTGACGTTCTACCTGAATGGATCTGGCAAGGATCAGAAATGAGTGATCGAAAGACAGACGGATGGTTGGGTCTGGTGAGGACAGCTAGGTTGGGGGATGGTTCCATCTGGTCCGGACAAAGCGGACGAGGAATGGATGGGTGGATGAATGAGGCCTAGATAGGCAGATCGGGTGTGGATGGACTGAGGATTGGAAGGGTTGACCTTTTTAAAAAATGGATGAGCGGGCGAATGAACAGAACCAGGATAGATGAACAGGCGAGTAAAGAAGACGCCTCTTTTCCACTGTGGGGTACAAGGTTGTGTGGTCTGCGGTAATTTGTCTGCCTGCATCTTCTAGTACCTACAACACACTGAACTAGGCCTCGGGATTTGACCTTTCATGTTCACTGACCTGGTAGAAAACCCACCCACAGACAAGATCATTCATGCTACCAGAAAAGTACTCCGTGAAGCGTGTCCTTAAAGGCAACAGCTTCATTGAATTGGAAGGACATAGGAAGGATCACTACTTGAAAGAAGAGGGGAGATTTTTTGGCTCCCTGAAGATTTACTCAAAACTTATGCGGGGTGAGGCGATCCCAGGGAAGGCAAAAGGAGGAGGCACGTACTTCTTAGCAACGCTGCTCCGTCGAACAGTGGAGGAGGATTTCCGTTTCTCCGGATATAGGATCTGGAAGCTGCCCTCTAAGTCAATCTCCTCTTCATTTGAGTTCGGTTTAACGGTGACATTTCGGCTGAGGCAAAAGATGCCACCTGCATTGTCAAATTCACCACAGTAATTTGGCGCCGAGAAGATAGTTACAAACGATCGGTTGGCGAAGAATTCATAACCATCCTCCACCACTTGATGTGCTCTAACCATCAAATCTAATCCGAATCTACTTAAAAACCGATCTACCACATCGGGACTGAAGACATACGAGACTCCGCGTTCATTCGGTCCGAATCCTGTTTCCGTGAATATCGGCGGTAGTTCATCAGCATCTGGATCCAACATGTCAGGATTTAGTGGATCTGCCCATAAAAGATCGCAAACAACGCCCTCTTCGGGTACATCTGTAGGCCGTGGAATAGCTCGGATTCGCTGTTTGAGATCCTCCAAATTTGTATACTCAGGTTTAAGGAACTCTGGTGAAATACCACCATGACAACAGAAGATCTGATTCTCAATCACAGCAGCCACTGGAAGACAGTTGAACACGTCCAGGAAGTGCCTCCACAATTTCACATTGAATCGCCGTTTGCATTCATCAAAGAATCCGTAGATGCGAGTAATCGCCTGGCACTCGTGATTACCTCGCAAAAGAAAGAATGTGGTAGGATATTTCACCTTGTAGCCAAAGAGGAGACAAATTACCTCCAAACTCTGCTTGCCTCGATCCACATAGTCTCCAAGAAAAAGGAAGTTTGTAGTATCCGGTTTGCCGCACAAATCAAAGAGACGAAGAACATCACGAAATTGACCGTGAGTGTCACCACACACCTTCAGCGGGCCCTCCAATTCCAGCAAGACTGACTGACTCATCACCACATGCTTGGTCATCTGGCAGAGGGTGATCATGTCCTGCTCCTTCAGATTCACATTCTTCACACCTCTGTCCTTACTGGTGGCTAGGGCCTCCACAAATTCATCAAGGTTAAATGCGGACGGCCGCAGGGTTGACTTTCGCGATTGAACAGACAGCTTGAGGCTACACTTGCTATTGGCGGATTATGGATCAGTGGACGGACGGGGAGCATGCGCTGTCTGCGCTCTAAACGCGCCTTCTATTTTCGGCTCGTGGTGACCTATCGAATTTTGAGAGAGGCGGGATTGCTAGTCCCCTCACACCTAGACAAACGTGACTCCCAGTCAATCGATGGGGTCGCGTGAGGGCGAACGCCTCGACAGTCACGCTTGCGTGTCTCCAGCATGGAAAGCCTTCAGTCGAAAGGTGACCTTGAAGGAGGTGGGTGTAATGAGGGGTCATTTTCTGTCCCTTAGTAACTTTTTTCAAGGTGTATAGACAATCTCTCCCAGAAAAATATGCGTTCCACGTTTGTAAAGGCAATTTTTGAATATAGCAAACTTTTGTTCTGGTTTTGGAATAAAAAGAGAGTAAATTTAGTCTTTTTTTGTAGTGAACTGGTACTTGTTTGAATGCACCTTTATCTACGCCGACTCGTTAGTACTCGTAGGACTTTGCAAGCCACTAGTCAACCGTACCCCCATATGGTTATGCCTTGTCACGACTTCAGAGACGCCTGGGGTCGCTGCATTGTAGCTAGTGGCAAGCCAGTGCCCAAACTTTAACTTTCTCGAAGGAGGGAGCGCTTAATATACGGAGGTTTCCATACCCACCTTCCCGAATCACTCCAGTCTTCTCTTTTCCAGTAGGGTAATTTAAAAGTGGGGCAATACGAGACCTGAGGAACTTGAGGAGATCGTTAGTGGAACAGTCTACGGGGATGCCTGGATTACACGAGCAAGCGATATCCCCTCCTCCGCGTCTCCGGTAGCTAAATGGAAACCGACTAATGGGGACTGGTAAATGACATGTAGCCTGGGCATTGCAAAAGCATGATACAAGTGATCACTCGACCTTTCTGCCCTTCGAAGTAGAAGTGCGATTAAGCTGTAGTGGTTGGATTTTGTTTAAACTGTATATTTCGCTGGGCGGGTCCTTCGGTTCCGATCAGGTGTGGTTCCATCTCAGCAATATGGCCTGCCGGTTGTGCTAATCACCATCAAATTCTTCTCCATCTTAATTCTAACTCGTTGTTTACATTAATGCGGCTTATCACGACTTTAGGGTATCCTTAAAGCCTCCATTACTGACCCCGTAAATCTCCGTAAAAAGTAAATTAGTGGCATACGATTGGCCGTGGAAATGAGGAATTGTGACTGCTTTCCAAACCAACAAACAATCTCTGCTAAATTTACAGCCAGATGAGGTTGCATTAGTGCCAAAATTGCATGTGATTTCCTTTTCATGTGTGCTAATTCATTTCAAAATGGAGAGAAAGTGATTGGGGTATTTTTAGTAACCATTCCTATCGCTGACTGATGTGCAAAAAGGATCTGCCTGCTTAGTTTGGCTATTTTTAGAGGGAGCAAGGCGGGCTAACAATCAGGAAAATACCACCACAAACAATGACTAGTCCATTTCGGTGTAATTTACTTTTCGTCTTTATTTGGCTTAAATATATTCTAGATTGAATCTATTGCTTTGAATGGACTTTGCCTCTCCCCGCGCTCATCGTTCATTTTTTTTTCCTGCGCAAAGCTCCTACCTCATATCGCTTTCATGTATAAATAGTACAATTGGTACAGATGTCGCTTTTTGCGGAGATAGGCCAGATCTTTGTATGATTTATTGCCGTAAAGAATATATAGGAAAATGTAGATCGCTCTATCAGCGATCTCGGAAATCTCAAATCTCCAATAGCAGTAGCATTGGCCAATAAGAAGGCAGTCGATAAGCTATTGGTCGGGCGTTAAACCAATCAGCTTATGCCAACGCAAATCAGATTGGTTTTCAATCAATTATTTTTTCCTTCTGAATACAATGTAGAATGTGCATTCATTTTTTGTGGGGCACTAGTTTGCTTACAAACCACTTTGCTAGCAACACATCTCGATTCCATTGTTAAATTTACGTTCTTCAAAAAATACCGAGGCAAGGAGAGCCATACAAGGGAGGGATAGTGTTGCGCACAAAGATGCGTTGTCTTTTTGTGATAAAAAGCACTGCAGATTGGTGCACATGTCCACAAAATCTCCGCATTAATGTGTACCGAAACCCGCAGGTCATTCAATCGGATGTGGATGCAGAAAATACAGAGCGGCTATTCAGCTGTTTATTTTCCTTAATTCTTTGTTCCTCAAATAAATTATTATCTAAGCGAAAATTAATGCTTTAGAAGTCTTAAAAATATGAGAAATCTTGGCCACGCAATCTTTTCGTCCAATAGCAATGATGATGTTCAGTCGCATTTTATTGATTTCCTTTTTTCAACCGACCAATCAGAGCTCCCCTGAAAAATAATTGGTTGGTTAGGAGATATTTAAACTAAGAGCATCTCGTCTCACTTTGCGGATCTATTATCGTGTAGTGTTCCTAATAAGTTGGAAAAATAATGGTTTATTCTAAGCCAGAGTGGTTGCAGAATTGAATTATCTAGCTTGTCGTAGCGAACCGTTGGAAGAGTCGATTGAATGATCAGTTGAGTGAATGTCGTATCCCTGAACATACCTAGGAAACAAACACTAGATTAGCCCTAGTACTTTGGAAATCTCCGAGACTGAAGCTGAAGACATAGGCTTTCTTAAAGGTCTGAGGCCAAAAATGCTAAAACCTCAAATACAAAGTAAACGGTTATATCGCGTGAAGAGGAAAAGGGGAAAGTTAAAATTAAGTATCAATTCCCCTCCAAACATCACATACATAATTATCTATAGAAACCAGTTGTCCAGGAATGCGATCTACCGGCTAGATGTATTTGTTAGGACTTTTGCGTCTGGCCAAAAAATCAAAACACGGATCATCAGACTGGCGCGAATTCGCCACTGGAATTGGGGCTGGTTGTCCGTATGAACTGCCCAACTTAAGGCACCGTTTTAAAATAATCAACCGTGTTTATTGTTGGGAAGTCAAAAAGGACAAATTTGGATCTACCTCGGGTGCATTGGGGAGTATTTGAATGAGTGCATAAGTGCCAAATAGGTAGGCGAATTTCAAATTGAAAGGTAGATTGATGGGTCGCCGATGGATAAATGGTTGGAAGGAGGCGTGGGATGAATTACAGGTGAATGGGTTAAAGAATATATGTGGGAAGGTAGGAATGCCGTGTGGAATATATGGGAAGGAATAAGATAAATAGGCACATTCAGAAATGCTGTAGGAACAGATAAAATGAGGAGATGCCTTTAAATTAATGGAGAAACGGGGTGATTTGGTAAACTAATAAATGAGTGACCGTTGCAGCGCCTTTCCCTAAGGCTAAATAGGCTCAAGTAAGTAAGTATCTTCCCACAGCGGAAGTGGTGGCAGAAAGAGATTCGCCCCTTCTACTCTCACATTTGGCTCTCTCGGTCCATTTGGTATACTGATGTCCAGACAGCAGCCAGTCATCATCACTATCCCGTCATCAATGCTACTGCCACTCCACATCGTCGACCCACCCCACTTTGGCTAGACACCGTCCAACAACTCTTGAAAGGTGGAACGGCCATCTGTCTATTTCATCGCCTCCGCCAAGCTGATGCAAGTATGCGTGGTGCCCTAGCTACTGCCTATTTACGTTCGCGTCGCGTCACATTGCATTGAAGACTCCTCTAACGGACAGGTATAATATCAGAAGCTGCTGCATTCTTTTCAGGATTCCAAGCCTTCTCACTTGGCTGCCGCATACTTGTCCGGAAAACGACTTCTAACCCTACTTTTAATACAATTGAAAGGGTGGAACAACACTTTTATTTTGCGTGCTTACAGCATCCCTCTATCGTGCGTGGACTTTAAAGGCTCCAAGTTCCAGATTTCATGAAATTTCTCGTCCAGACGCCAATGCCCCTTTGTGAGAAACAGGATAATTACAAAAAAATCAAGTAAAACTTCTTAACGCCTTCTCTTTTGCTATAATTTCTGCAGGCAAATTAACTGCCACAGCCCAGATTTTCTTGATTACTCCAACATAGAATCTACCTTTTGCTCTTTCATACCCCCAAAACAAACCTTCAGTTATCCTCGGATTGAGAGCATATCGCACCTAAATTGCTGCTTTAAGATAAAACAGTTTGTTAAAAACCCAAAATCGGTTATCTAAAAGGGGCGAAATGCATGTCACGCATTTGTGACTGACGTAGGATTGTATAATTGGAGCGTCACGTATGTGTGACGTTAGTATTTTACATGCCATTTACCAAATTTTGATGAATCCTGCTGCACAATACAACTTCAGTAATCAAGTTATAATATTTTAGGTCTTTTAAATACTTTAATTTGCCGATTTATTACCCTAACCTTCGTAGGCCTAAATTGACACTGTATCTCTTCTAAAAAATGAATGGCCATTTTCTTTAAGCAGTTGTGTTCAATCTAAAAAAAGGATGCCTTTTCTCTCCCTTCGCACCGTATATAACGCTTGTGCAGAAAAGAATAAGCGTGAAGAGGGTGAAATAAGAGTATCCAAGACAGAAAGGCCTAAGGTGAAAAGGGCCGGTGCTATTGACGCACAGTTCTGTCTCTAATGGTGCTACTGCTGCTACCTCTGACACCATTGTTCGGGTTGGCATGCACTTTGCACGACGCAAATGTCAGTAGCCGCTGACGGCATGCCACTTGAAATCATTGTCAAACAGTGCCTTTAGAAGTAGGCATTTTACGAAGGGGTGTCATTAAGTCGGTAGTGATTTAAACCCTCCCCCTCACCCGCCGTCATAGCGGCTGAAAAACTAAGTGACTCTGCTCCCCATGCGTTTCATTATGATGGCTTAAACAGGTTTTGTTTAAATGGGTCCTAATTTTCTTTTTTATATAAAACTTGGAGGGTTTTTTGAGTTTTTTTACATATTATTGCTCTGATGCTTCAATGCCTGAATCTGGAACGCTCTCTACCCGGTGTGCTGAAACTCTTGACCCTAGTGAAAAAAAGAATGCCCTAATTTACACATATGACCTTCTAATTCCTCTGAAATTGATAGTCTAATGTTGTTCATATAAAAGAGCCTGAATGCCCTGAGCGGTAAGAATATCTAAAGATCAAGGAAAATCTTCCCCCTAGTGTATACACGCTGTCATTTGACATTCATTGGCATTTCATGCAAGATGAAGGGAGGTTTACACTGCGACTTTCTTTTTTGGTTGCCTTTGGAGGCGGTGCACTGGTGCATTGCGGCACAAATTGCAGCACTGCGCGGCACCACCCACTCATTCCCATACAGGAGATGGAGGGCCACATTGGAATCAATCAGCCGATGTTGACTGTGGTGTGGCAGTGTGTCCCTGATGTTAGGCCATTGTGACAGCAAAATTCACATGATTAAGAGTTCTAGAGCTCACGGGAGAGCTCAAGATTTCCGTTTTCTGAACTATTCGATGGGTTTAAGAAAACGCAGATTTATTATCCAAATCGGATAGTTTGCCGTTAATGACCTTAAAGTGGCTGGTACCGCTAACTTTTTACCTGACCCCACCTGCTAGGTCATGAATTCATGGCAATTACTTCGTTGCCAATTTGTCGCCAAGTGGCTGCCATAACTCGTGTTAATAATTAATTGGTAGATTGTAAGATGTTTGAACAGACTCCGGATGGTCTTCTTCCAAGAAACGAATTACTCACTCGACTTTAACGTTAGACGCGTCCTCAAAATCTATTAAATATGCCATGTAACATGTTTCAGACAAATAATAATCTGTATATTTTGCGATTTCGAAGTACAAACTCGTCATCATGTGTGCGCTGACTTCACGGTTAAAAGTAAAATGGCCGTAAAAGTGTGGAATCATCGCCCTTCTAAATGAATAGGATGCTTGAAAGGAATAATTTTTAAAAAGTCTTGGTATTTTTGCTCATTTGTTATACATCTCGCCATTACAGTTAATGGGCTGGACAAGGTACAATCTTATTGGCTAACAAGAGTCCGCTCTACTCCCATTGGCTCTTTGGCAATGCAACTCCAGTGTTTAACCTTCTTGCAGGAGGTCCTACTTTTTCGAGTAAAGAATGGTCAATCAATTTCAATGGAGTAGTAGTATGGTTGCACCTAGGAGGTATTTGCGAAATAATCTATTTTTTTACAAATTAGGCACATCATACAGCGCTGTCATCAATATGGCACCCTGGGGAAAAGAGGTATCAGATTAACTTGAAGCCAAACTCACGTGACTGCAGACATGTGTATGGGATGTTGTCTTTGGCAACCTTTACGAGGAATGCCGTAATTTTCATGGCAACGGAACACAAAAAAGTGCACAGTTTCGTACGCGTGTGTGGGCAACAGAAGTAGATTGATGGAAGGGTGGGTGGTTACTTCTAGCAATTGAGGGAAATTGTGTGCTAAAAAAGGCATTCCATACCTTGCTTTGCAGTATAGTTATAGCTAGAATAAGTTTTTGTAAGTGAAAAAATCGCATCGAGGTGACCTAACTGTTGAAGGAGCTTTTATCTTGATCGCGTAGGGCGATTTGGTGGGACTTGATACTGCCACCTTCAAATAACCACGCATAGATTGTGTGTGGGGTGGTAAAATCAGCGCGAAAATTGCCAGAAGAATTAACTTGACTACCCCGGGGTAAACAAATGTCGCAGCCTCCCAACTTTGATGTTAAAAATCATTCCCCTTACTTGCGACAAGATCTGATGCAATGCAACCACTTACCACAAGATAAAAGGGAGCCTTGGATTTGGCCCTTTGATGTGCCTGTGTTTGAGGAGGGAAGGTTTTGCAATATAACAGTACGCTCGAAAATTGGTGAGAAAATGCACGAAGTCTATTCATGAGTGGAACTTCAGCTTCTGTTTTGCAGCTCACCTGACAGCGTAGGCTGTGACAGCGTGGTAGTGATTACAACAATAGCACCTACGCACGCAAAATAATGCAAATAGGTGATGAAGGTATCAGTGGTGCTCGCCATAAATCTCCACACCCCCGGGGTCATTTCTCTTACCCTTACACCTCTCCATCTCACCCAGGTGTCATTATAACTGCATGGAAAAGGCTGTAGCACAGGTGCCACACATACTCGGACAGCGTTGGCGGAGGCTATGGAACAGACAGACGGCTGCTTCATCACTTATGTGGTGATTTACGTCGTCTAGGCCAAAGTGGGGTGGGTCGACGACGTAGAGTGGCAGCAGCATTGATGATGGGACAGTGATGACCACTGGCTGCTGTCTGGATATCAGTGTGCCAAATGGACCGAGAGAGCCACTTATGAGAGTAGAAGGGGCAAATCTCATCTGCCATCATTTCTGCTGTGGAAAGATACTTACGTAGCCTATCTGGTGATGGGGAAGGTGCTGCTGCGATTCTAGATGAGGTAGGAACAAATGCTTCTAACCAAAGGGGTCTATTGGGGTAAATGTTGAAGTAGAGTTGGCCACAGGTTGGACGATCTCCCAACAACTCTCCAACCAAATGGAATCCCATGCTGTAGACAAACTCAACCGTAGGGGCTTTCCAACACCGGCTCTCTTCTCCGCGTAAGAAGTACCAATCTTGTATTTCAGAACCGCTTCGTAAAATCAGGGCCACGACAATCGTCTTTAGTGCATGAGAGTCTGGAGCTGTGGACCAGTTTGGAGCTCAGAATTGCCTTGAATACACTTTCATGGATTAACTGAACTCCTCTTACATCCAATATCAAAGTATGTCTAGCAAAATTCAAAATTGCATATTATTATACAAAAATCTACCTCTTTTATTTTTCTAATGTAGCTAAAGCAGCCGCTTTTTTCCCCTTTTGTTCAGCCTTTCTGTGTGTGGCGCCACTACAAAACTCCCATCATTGCATCACCAAATTTACCGACGCTTAATAAAATCGTGGAGCCGATAATCCCCGACTGTCTCCTGAACATCTGTTATTATAACTTAATTGACCAATAATTTTACTTCCTCCGCATTGGATGCCGTAGCAACCAACCAAGAAAACATCTTTTTGTGTACCGAATAAGAATATTAAGCTTGTCAGGTGATATAACACCCATTTGGCGATTTAATTTCCAAGCGAAGTACCTATTGACCCAAATCCTTTCCTCCCTTGCTGGATCAAAAAATATCAATTTTCGGTATGACAGGTAAGCTGATACATTAACACAAAATGTTTTTAAAGCAGTGATTTTGCCTACAGTGCCTACTGGGACACTGGAAGTCCATCCCCTTACTGGGTCCACAATGGCCTATTTATAATGTAGTTGCACAGGGCGTACTGCCTCAAAGGTTAGGAGGGTTGTGATTGTATGCCTTTCTTGATAAATTATCGTAAACTCTAGCAATGGGAGGCTGGACCCTGCCTATCTTACCAGCGCTATGCCTAGGCGAGGCCATTTCCATTGTTACTGCTTTAATGGCAAGAAGCTTCGAGATCACCATAAAACAAGCCCGGCAAGCAAGTAAACGGGTGTTCTCCAAGTGGATGCAGCGTCGGACTTAAAGGAATGATGCTTAAGTTGTGTTAAGATTGCTTGTGATTCAACTATTTGTCAAGATCCAAACTTTGTTTAACCTTAAATCACGACATTTGCTACTGAAATTGCCCCTATTAAGTAGTTTGCTAGTCATGAAGATCAGTATTTTTGTGCTTTAAGAATGTCAGATGCATACCCCTGT